ATATATATATATATATATATAACAAGCACAAATGCATTTTTTATAAAGAAAATATCAAATTTAAATTTAAGATTATTTAGGCCTTTAGTTCGGCAAGTTTATAGTCATGCCAACCGTCTCAACAAAGCGAACCCAAGGATGTTAAAAATGGTCCAATCCAAATACAATCAAGCTCAGATCAAACAATTGAAACACATTAAAGGCTTTGGATTATCTTTTGAATGATTAAATGAACTTCGAATTTGAAATATTTATAGAGCCTGTTCTGGAGAGAGATACAACGATAACCACTGGCTTTCATAGCCACCGATTACCGTTGACCACGACTCGCTGGCTACAGTCGACCACCGCCCATTGGCTATTGTCAACCATTGCTGACCGCCACCGTCTGCCATTGTCAACTACCAGCCACCGATGACCCCTACTCACATCCTTTATATTTCAAATATGATTGCTATGTCTAGCACATGTATTGAAAACTAGAAGATAACCATCAACCTCCATAGCAATTGACCATCGCCCGTCCACCACTGTCAAATATTGTTGAGTGCAAGCCTTCAATGACCCTTGCACCCTTGCAATTGTTATAGTCCAACTATGACCTTAATGACTAGTTATTGCCTTTGTAGCAATCAACTATGTCGTTTGTGGCCAACTAATATTATTAAAACATCCAACTACAGCTTACGTGGTCAATTGTTGCTTTTGCAGCTATCGACTATGACATTTGTGACCAACTACTATTATTTCAGCTTTCAATTACGACTTCTGTGGATGGTTGCTTCCCTTCGCAATAACTATGACCTTTTGTGGCCAACTAGTGTCATCATAATTTCCAACAACGCCCTCTATGACTAACAACTGCTCTTGTATCCACTGACTACGACCTTTGTGGCAAACTACTACTTTTATAGCTTCCAACTACGACTTCTAGGGTCGATTATTGCTCTTGCATTTATCGATTATGATCTTTTAGAACAAATACTACTATTACAACTTCTAACTATGATCTTTAAAGTTGAGCTCTTGCAGCAACCGATTATAACATTTATGGTCAACTATTACTGTTATAGTTTCTAATTATGACTTCTATGGTCGCGACCACATCTTTACAACGATTGGCTATGGCTTCTATGACAAACTACTATATTGTTATAACTTCCAACAATGACTAATGTTGTCGACTACACTTGTAACTACCAAAAATGGCCTTTGTGGCCAACTATTACGTTCACAGTTTCTAACAATGACCTCTGTGACTAACTATTATTGTTTGCAGACACTAATTACGATCTTTATGACCAACTATTATTGTTACAGCTTTCAACTATTATCTTTGTTGTCAATTATTATTATTGCAACCACGAATGACAAATCTTTATGGTTAGCTACTGTCTTTGTTGTAACTAACTATGACATTTGTGACAAGCTACTATTGTGATAACTTCCAACTATGACCTCTATGATCAAGTATCACTATTACAAGCACCGATTATAGCCTTCTGTGGCCAATCACTGTAGCAACGAACTACGACTTTTATGGCCAATTACTGTCATTACAACCAAGATCGTTACTGTTGTGGACTAATTATGTCTATTTTATAGCTGAACTACTTTTGTGCATATTTGATTATCATCTTTGCAATTCAATCTTCTCTAATTCAAGAGAAGCGTGAGCATATGCTTTTACAATAAGATTATTTTGATTGGGCTAGACATCGTGGATTTTTCCTTTTTTTTTTAAATCTTTTCATGTAAAACTAATGATGTCACCTCTTGTTACTTTTTCACAATCTTTTAGGCACGCAACAATATTTAGAACACAAAGCGGTATAAATATAAAAATTAAATTTAGATTTAAATATGTAAATACATGAATACCGTGTGATAAATTTAACGGCCGTTAACGATCCAATTACGAGTCGAGCTGAGGTCTGCTCAAAATCGGCTCGAAAAAAATTTGATCCGAAATTTTGGCTCGTAGCTCGACTTTGTTCGATCCGAGCCAAAATTCGAATCAATTTTTGAGCGATTAACGATCTTCGATCTACTTTTTTTTTAAATTCTTTGTCTTAACATCTCTAGAGTTGTGAACGATCAGATTTCGAGCTGAGTTGGAATAGCCTCAAAATCAACACAAAAAAAAATCGATCCAAATATCTAACTCATAGTTCGGCTTATTTATTTTGTTCCGATCTTAATCCAAGCTATAGATTCAAATTAATTTTAGAGTGATTTACCTATGCTTGAGCAAAATTAACATCCCTAGTAGCGGTCGCCTTTAATGAATTTCTCCTAAAAATTCATAAAAAAAAAACGCGGAGGAACATTATGGATTATGATGTAGCGTTTCATGGAGGTTTTCGGTGGGGGGGGAATTCCAGGGGATCGACGTATTCTGGAATGCGCGCCCAACTTGACTAGCTTTTCCATTTGATAGTCACTAATTCCAGGGGATCGACGTACAAAGTTGCCTCAGGATTCTGGAATGCGCGCGCCCAACTTGACTAGCTTTTCCATTTGATAGTCACTAATTCCAGGGGATTGCAAGTTTGCAACTTCGAAGAACGTGCGGCTTCAGCATTCCACAATCTTATTATCATTTAAAAATTAATTTGCCTAAAATCAGTACCTTATTTTTTTAATATAAGAGGGATCTGGAAGTGTTTCTGGTCGGTCCTAGATTTTCATGCCATCTCCATCTCTTCTTCAGCGGTTAGTTTTTCTAAGATTTGTGGTGACACATAATTGATATACATATTTAAGTTTTTCGTTTTTCTTACCCCTTGATTATTACAACTATGATAAGATAAGAGATGCTTATTTTAAAAAAAAAAAAGATTTGTTGGTATCATGATTATTAAACGAACAATAATTGAACAGTTAGAATTTTGTTCGAATACTCTTATAAATGGGAAAGAGATGGAGGAAAACGGTAACTTATCTTATTTCTTTGGGTGTGTTATATCATTATGTAGTTGGTGATCTTGGAGAGTGACCGCCCGTCCAAGTAAGTCAATTTTGACGAGGATACCCAAAAGATGATTTTCGAGGTCATGAAGCAAAGGGCGAAGGCTTCTTTTGAGAGTGAGCGACCTGGAAACTTCTTGTGCCTGAGGCAAAACTACCTGAGCTGAGAGACAAAGTGGGGTCATCAGATTCACTTTCGGACCGCCATACCGATAAGTCTTAAGTGAAGGAGAGAGGCTTCCTGGTGAAGAAGCGTCGGATGACGGGAATAATCCTCCCAGAGGGTAAGTTGGCAGAGTCGTTGATTTCCGCCCACTTAGAATCCTTTTACGTTGGCGGAGGAGCAGAGTAATCCTCCCAAAGGGTAAGTTGGCAAAGTCGTTGATTTCCAACCACTTAGGAACCTTTTACGTTGGCGGAGGAGCAGAGGTAGGAACTTGCAATTATGGTGGTACGAACAGAGGAGTTAGAGGTAGCTGTTTTAGGGACCACCCATGATCCTTCTCAGTCGATGCCCCTGGAGTTGCCGTCCCTCCCCGATTGTGGAATAAGAGACCGGAGAAGGAGCGTGTTCATTTACTACATTTGATCTGCACGGGATAATGGGTCATTCCTCTTGTGGTGCTATTGATGTTGCTGTGGATCCAACATTCACTGAGGGTTGTATGTCTGATAGGTGACCCGGCTGGGATGATCGTCGTATTAGGGCTAGGCCTGTAAACTTGCTGAGCATGAGCAAGGGCTTGGCTCGTGTTTGACTCGGTTGAAATTGCTTGTGCTTGAAATCACCTCATGTTTGAAATTGACTCGTGAACAGTGTGTTCGTATTCAGCTCGATTTAAATATTCTTGTTCATGCTCAGCTCTTGTTTGATTCGAAATTGACTTGTTAAAATTAACTGGAAAAATAGATGCAGGGTGTTGGATTTGAACCAGCACCACTCTGTGCAATATAAACGCAGGACCACACGACCACACGACCACACGACCACACGACCTGTTATGATTTAAATTTCGATATAAATATATAAATATTTTATTATAAATATAATATATAATATAACATTATATAAATAATATTAATTTTTTTTTTATTTCTAGCTAAAAGGAGCCAAACATGACCAAACAAAGGGTTGTTCGTGTTCGAATCGTTTATAATTCAAGCTTAAAAAAATTATTGGTGTTCAACTCATTTACTTTACGAACGAGCCAAACATGAGGTACTTAATGAGCCGAAGACTAGCTGTTCACGAATAACAAGCTTTTTTAATAGCCTTAATCAATGTTGTTTGACTCGGCTGAATGTCGCCCAATGAGAATGAAGCCCTACTA